TTTAATTTTTTTATCTCGAAAACTATGATAGGTCGGTCAATGGGACCTTCACCATTCGATTCAGCATGCTCAAATTAGTAAAAAAAAAGCAATAATATTAATAACATTCCGTCTTACTTTTTGAGCAAAAAAATAAAAACTTATTTTTTTGCACTTTTTTAACACTTTTAATTTTTTTATCTCGAAAACTATGATAGGTCGGTCAATGGGACCTTCACCATTTGATTCGGCATGCTCAAATTAGTAAAAAAAAAGCAATAATATTAATAACATTCCGTCTTACTTTTTGAGCAAAAAAATAAAAACTTATTTTTTTGCACTTTTTTAACACTTTTAATTTTTTTATCTCGAAAACTATGATAGGTCGGTCAATGGGACCTTCACCATTTGATTCGGCATGCTCAAATTAGTCAAAAACAGCAATAATATAAACAACATTCTGTCTTACTTTTTGAGCAAAAAAATAAAAACTTATTTATTTGCACTTTTTTAACACTTTTAATTTTATATCTCAAAAACTATGATAGGTCGGTCAATGGGACCTTCACCATTCGATTCGGCATGCTCAAATTAGTCAAAAACAGCAATAATATAAACAACATTCCGTCTTACTTTTTGAAAAAAAAAATAAAAATTGAAATTTTTGCACTTTTTTAACACTTTTAATTTTTTTATCTCGAAAACTATGATAGGTCGGTCAATGGGACCCTCACCATTTGATTCGGCATGCTCAAATTAGTCAAAAACAGCAATAATATAAACAACATTCCGTCTTACTTTTTGAGCAAAAAAATAAAAACTTATTTATTTGCACTTTTTTAACACTTTTAATTTTATATCTCAAAAACTATGATAGGTCGGTCAATGGGACCTTCACCATTCGATTCGGCATGCTCAAATTAGTCAAAAACAGCAATAATATAAACATTATTCCGTCTTACTTTTTGAGTAAAAAAATAAAAATTGAAATTTTTGCACTTTTTTAACACTTTTAATTTTTTTATCTCAAAAACTATGATAGGTCGGTCAATGGGACCTTCACCATTCGATTCAGCATGCTCAAATTAGTCAAAAAAAGCAATAATATTAATAACATTCCGTCTTACTTTTTGAGCAAAAAAATAAAAACTTATTTTTTTGCACTTTTTTAACATTTTAATTTTTTTATCTCGAAAACTTTGATAGGTCGGTCAATGGGACCTTCACCATTTGATTCGGCATGCTCAAATTAGTCAAAAACAGCAATAATATAAACAACATTCCGTCTTACTTTTTGAGCAAAAAAATAAAAACTTATTTTTTTGCACTTTTTTAACACTTTTAATTTTTTTATCTCGAAAACTATGATAGGTCGGTCAATGGGACCTTCACCATTTGATTCGGCATGCTCAAATTAGTCAAAAACAGCAATAATATAAACAACATTCCGTCTTACTTTTTGAGCAAAAAAATAAAAATTGAAATTTTTGCACTTTTTTAACACTTTTAATTTTTTTATCTCGAAAACTATGATAGGTCGGTCAATGGGACCTTCACCATTTGATTCGGCATGCTCAAATTAGTCAAAAACAGCAATAATATAAACAACATTCCGTCTTACGTTTTGAGCAAAAAAATAAAAATTGAAATTTTTGCACTTTTTTAACACTTTTAATTTTTTTATCTCAAAAACTATGATAGGTCGGTCAATGGGACCTTCACCATTCGATTCAGCATTCTCAAATTAGTCAAAAAAAGCAATAATATTAATAACATTCCGTCTTACTTTTTGAGCAAAAAAATAAAAACTTATTTTTTTGCACTTTTTTAACACTTTTAATTTTTTTATCTCGAAAACTATGATAGGTCGGTCAATGGGACCTTCACCATTTGATTCGGCATGCTCAAATTAGTCAAAAACAGCAATAATATAAACAACATTCCGTCTTACTTTTTGAGCAAAAAAATAAAAATTGATATTTTTGCACTTTTTTAACACTTTTAATTTTTTTATCTCGAAAACTATGATAGGTCGGTCAATGGGACCTTCACCATTCGATTCAGCATGCTCAAATTAGTAAAAAAAAAGCAATAATATTAATAACATTCCGTCTTACTTTTTGAGCAAAAAAATAAAAACTTATTTTTTTGCACTTTTTTAACACTTTTAATTTTTTTATCTCGAAAACTATGATAGGTCGGTCAATGGGACCTTCACCATTTGATTCGGCATGCTCAAATTAGTCAAAAACAGCAATAATATAAACAACATTCTGTCTTACTTTTTGAGCAAAAAAATAAAAACTTATTTATTTGCACTTTTTTAACACTTTTAATTTTATATCTCAAAAACTATGATAGGTCGGTCAATGGGACCTTCACCATTCGATTCGGCATGCTCAAATTAGTCAAAAACAGCAATAATATAAACAACATTCCGTCTTACTTTTTGAAAAAAAAAATAAAAATTGAAATTTTTGCACTTTTTTAACACTTTTAATTTTTTTATCTCGAAAACTATGATAGGTCGGTCAATGGGACCCTCACCATTTGATTCGGCATGCTCAAATTAGTCAAAAACAGCAATAATATAAACAACATTCCGTCTTACTTTTTGAGCAAAAAAATAAAAACTTATTTATTTGCACTTTTTTAACACTTTTAATTTTATATCTCAAAAACTATGATAGGTCGGTCAATGGGACCTTCACCATTCGATTCGGCATGCTCAAATTAGTCAAAAACAGCAATAATATAAACATTATTCCGTCTTACTTTTTGAGTAAAAAAATAAAAATTGAAATTTTTGCACTTTTTTAACACTTTTAATTTTTTTATCTCAAAAACTATGATAGGTCGGTCAATGGGACCTTCACCATTCGATTCAGCATGCTCAAATTAGTCAAAAAAAGCAATAATATTAATAACATTCCGTCTTACTTTTTGAGCAAAAAAATAAAAACTTATTTTTTTGCACTTTTTTAACATTTTAATTTTTTTATCTCGAAAACTTTGATAGGTCGGTCAATGGGACCTTCACCATTTGATTCGGCATGCTCAAATTAGTCAAAAACAGCAATAATATAAACAACATTCCGTCTTACTTTTTGAGCAAAAAAATAAAAACTTATTTTTTTGCACTTTTTTAACACTTTTAATTTTTTTATCTCGAAAACTATGATAGGTCGGTCAATGGGACCTTCACCATTTGATTCGGCATGCTCAAATTAGTCAAAAACAGCAATAATATAAACAACATTCCGTCTTACTTTTTGAGCAAAAAAATAAAAATTGAAATTTTTGCACTTTTTTAACACTTTTAATTTTTTTATCTCGAAAACTATGATAGGTCGGTCAATGGGACCTTCACCATTTGATTCGGCATGCTCAAATTAGTCAAAAACAGCAATAATATAAACAACATTCCGTCTTACGTTTTGAGCAAAAAAATAAAAATTGAAATTTTTGCACTTTTTTAACACTTTTAATTTTTTTATCTCAAAAACTATGATAGGTCGGTCAATGGGACCTTCACCATTCGATTCAGCATTCTCAAATTAGTCAAAAAAAGCAATAATATTAATAACATTCCGTCTTACTTTTTGAGCAAAAAAATAAAAACTTATTTTTTTGCACTTTTTTAACACTTTTAATTTTTTTATCTCGAAAACTATGATAGGTCGGTCAATGGGACCTTCACCATTTGATTCGGCATGCTCAAATTAGTCAAAAACAGCAATAATATAAACAACATTCCGTCTTACTTTTTGAGCAAAAAAATAAAAATTGATATTTTTGCACTTTTTTAACACTTTTAATTTTTTTATCTCGAAAACTATGATAGGTCGGTCAATGCGACCTTCACCATTTGATTCGGCATGCTCAAATTAGTCAAAAACAGCAATAATATAAACGACATTCCGTCTTACTTTTTGAGCAAAAAAATAAAACTTGAAATTTTTGCACTTTTTTAACACTTTTAATTTTATATCTCAAAAACTATAATATGTCGGTCAATGGGACCTTCACCATTCGATTCAGCATGCTCAAATTAGTCAAAAAAAGCAATAATATTAATAACATTCCGTCTTACTTTTTGAGCAAAAAAATAAAAACTTATTTTTTTGCACTTTTTTAACACTTTTAATTTTTTTATCTCGAAAACTATGATAGGTCGGTCAATGGGACCTTCACCATTCGATTCGGCATGCTCAAATTAGTCAAAAATAGCAATAATATAAACAACATTCCGTTTTACGTTTTGAGCAAAAAAATAAAAATTGAAATTTTTGCACTTTTTTAACACTTTTAATTTTTTTATCTCGAAAACTATGATAGGTCGGTCAATGGGACCTTCACCATTTGATTCGGCATGCTCAAATTAGTCAAAAACAGCAATAATATAAACAACATTCCGTCTTACTTTTTGAGCAAAAAAATAAAAATTGAAATTTTTGCACTTTTTTATTTTCTATCTCGAAAACTATGATAGGTCGGTCAATGGGACCTTCACCATTCGATTCGGCATGTTCAAATTAGTCAAAAACAGCAATAATTTTAACAACCTTCCATCCTTCTATCTGAACACAGCAATTGTTCTGAATATATTCTCCTCTGCTCCTTTGTATACACTTCATTCCCCCACCACTTTTTTGTGCGCGTAGCGCGACCATCTTCGTTCGCTGTTGGTTGGCTCACCGAGGCCAACTTCCTTGGCGATTTTCTAGGCCAGCCTTTTTCTAGGCTAACTTCACACACATGAAAAAGTTAGTTTTGATAAAATAGGAACTTCACAAACTTTTTCGAGTTTAAGTATACGGCAAGCATTCATACATAGTTTTAAAAATTGAGAACACCTCAATAAATTCTGCACAAAGAATAATTTTGAGCAGAGATTTAAATACATTCAAATCTTTTCACAAACTCTGTCAACAGCACATTATCCTTAGCAAACTGACATTTCCCGTTGGCCTTTAACGTATGATCGAGACAATACATAAAAACAATGCAAATGTTCAAACCTTGTTGATATGCAGTTTTTTTCTGAGGCAAAGGTTTGTAAATTCGGTCAGTCTCTCAATTTTGAGAAATCTTCCTGTCAATCATCCACAACTTCTTGATTCTTGGTTGATAAAAAGTTAACAGGTTGAAAAGTTGGGTGGATTTGTTTTGTTTTCGGGCTTTTCGGACCGCAGCCTCAGTTGAGCTCGACAACGTTTTGTGGGGGAGACGGAGACACTCGGAGCTGCCAACCAACAAAATTGCAAAAATTGGCACTACCGAAATAACCTCCTTGAAGCAACGGGAAACGGGGGGAAAAAGAAGCGAGGGCAACGAGAGGGAGGAGAGGGGAAGTACACAAGTTGTTGTTCTTTCTCGTTTTGCTGAGATTTGTGATGTGTTTTGAATTCGCCAATTTTTAACGAAAACATGCATTATTTTTGCCGATTCGGCCCCTAGGTAAGGTTTTAACTAATCCATCTTGTTTTTAAAATGCTATTTATAAGTAGGGAATATACTGTTTTGGCGTGAACGCTAAATTATTGGCAAGGTTTGTGCTCGGGAGGCAACCAACACTGAAATATTTTTATGTATTTAAAATCTATCCCTTTTTTTCCTAAACATTCAGTATCAGGGGCCAATTCATCATCTAACCGACACTTTGGTTGATTTATGTACATTGAGCCTCTCAAGCACTGAAAGGTGATATTTTGGCATAAGGTTTTAAAATCTTCCACCCATGTTGCATTTATAAAATCCATTATGTACCTTTAAATAGGACCATCAAATAGATTTTTAGATAATTTATTTTTGTAAGTTTGTGTTTTTCCAAACAGATTGAATGTATCAAGGCCATCAGGATTTGCGTTTATTTGGTTATTCCGGAATTATGGACGAGGGTCAGCACTTGCCTGGCGTGCCCACTGCAATTTCCATACAGGACACTCCGACCGCGGCTAACGTTGAACTCGTAGATGCCAGCGAGGGTATCTACAGGATCGTAACAACTAATGGCATTCCCTATGGTGTTTGCGGGCAGTAAGACTTGATTTGATTTAAATTCGTCTTATCATTTGTAAATTAAACTAGGCAACTACAAACAACACCTGCTAAAACATCAGGGCAGATCATCCAACAGATGGCAGGAAACTTTCAAAATCAGCATTTACAGATGAATCCCAATTTCATCTTACAAAATCCAAATCAACAAGGTAGTCAGTCTCAGCAAAGGATTGTATTAGACGGCTCTTCCCAAAAGTATACTGTCTACCACCCTCAAGTCTTTAAAGTCATGCCTAGTGCCAGCAACATCATCATGGTGTCTCCGGTAAAACTGCAAAATTATAAATTTCTCAGATTATGAATTTCAATTGGCTTTCTTCTAATTAATTTTAATTGTCTTTCCACAGAATGCTCAACAATACGCTGTTAGAAATGTGCAGCAGTTTCAGGAAAAATTGGGAATTGAATTTGCGAAGCAGCCTACCCCCATGAAAATTCAAGCATCGCCTCCTCGACCTCCACAACCCAACCAATTGTCTCCTCCTCGGCCTCCTCAACCTAATCAATCTACGCCTCCTGCTCCTCGTCCCTGCCAACTTCTGTTGACACCCCTGCGCCCTGTCACTCCTGCAGTCCCCCAACTCATCCCATTTGGCAACAAGCACCAACCTGTGATGAGCCCACAGCGCACTCAAACCACTCCTCCCATGTAAATAAATATTTTCATTTAAAATTTTAATACTTACATGTGTGTTTAGAATAAAGAAACCTCCTCAAATCCTTAAACATGGAAACCAGAACTACAACATCATCTCATCCACATCATGCAAGGCTGTTCCTATCTCAAGTTTTGACAATAGCAATGAAAATGAGTAAGTTTTTCTTCCTCGTTTTAGTTGCTTTTTTGATAATGTTATGATAGATAAGCTTATTAAAAAAAGAAAAGCGCCATTTTTCAAGTTTTAATAAATATTTAAGAGATTATTAATTTTGTTTCCTTTGTCCAAAATTTTAGAGAAATGGAGACAGAGCAACCTCCGCCTCCACTACCTACCGAACTTCCCAAGACACCACCTCCGCCACCGCCACCACCCTTACCTCAAGTCAACGAAGCTCGTTTGCCACTGAACACAAATTGTAGTACACCTAAAGTGTCATCAAGCCTGGTGAAAAACAGCGTGTTGTTGAGCTCAAGCTCTCCAAAATTTCCAACGTCTCCAATGAAGAGCAACATACCTCCTCAAAGTTCACCCACAACGCAACTAACTCAAGCCAAGGTAATTTTTTATGAATTTCAGAGGGCAATACTTAAAATTGTGGTTAGGCCGAAGAAAAAGATACCATTATGAAGATGATGCCAGGGAAGGTGGCCATTTGCAAAAACTGTGGCTTATGCAGCATAGATTTGAGCAGGTGTCAGAGGTGTAACAGAGTTTTCCCTCCCGATGTGAGGATAGTTGATGATCCAAGCCTGGTGAAGGCTCGGAAACAACCAAATAATAGCACTGGCAAATCATATCTTAAAAATGTTGCACCACTTAACAAGCATTCTCCTGCACCTCCAATTCCTTCAACTTCAAAGCTGAAAACTGCTGTTTCAACTACGGCAGCTAAACCTGTTGGATTAACTTCAAAACTGAAGCCAGCTTTACAGGTAATGCTTTGAATTTTTTTAAATTTTAACTTTATAGTAAACGGAGATTTAAAAATAAGAAAGTATTCACTGAATGATATTAGATGTCGGTTACTTATTTTTTTTCCAATTAATATGAAACCACTTCCTTGTTTAATAGCAAAGCCCTGCGCGCCAACCACCTATAATAATTAAGAACAAAAGAGCAGTGCCTGTGAAGAAGCCCACTGTAGCAGAAGAACCTGGTATTTTTTTTTTACATAATTTGTATTTTTAGTCTAAAATATAAAATTGTTATTAGTCTGTCTTACCATTTCTGATGATGAGGATGATAGTGCAGCAAGTAGACTGAAACCTGCACCAACCCCAGTGCTCAGTGTGGAGAAGTGCATTGTAATTAGCAAAGAAGCTGAACTTAGTTCCACGATCACAGATAAGGAACCTTCTATTGAGGAACTGCAAATCACAGAACATGATATGAAATTATCATTAGGTAAGAATGCATACGTTTTTAATTTATTTTGTAGTATTTCTGAATTGCATGATGTTTAATTTAATGTCAGCAATTTAATATTTGCAACTTTCTGCAGGCATAGGGAACAATTTGATTGAAAACTATCAAAAGGGCCATGTTGGAGGGGGAGTCACAATGAAATGTCGGACAGTGCGTGTTGGATCTTACAAAGTTGCCCCATTGGAGAATGTACTGATCTGTCCTGAAGGTGTGCGGATCAGTTTGCCACACCCAGAAACCAAAGGTGCCTTGCTAATTTTCAAATTGAAATTAATTTAATGTTTCTTTGGTAGTTCCACTAGTTATTGAGGTCCCTCGGTCATCGATTGTGACGGTGCTGGCTCATATGGGAAGATCAGTTCCAGTCTTATTCTTTTACGTCAGGTGCTCCACTGCTGATAAAATAAGAGTTATGCTCAGCATGACTGATGCTAGCAAAGAACCTTATTTTGACCCTTTATCCAAGAACGAAACAAGGAAAAGGATTACTATTCTCCCGGAAAAGTTAAGTGACGAAACTAAAATTCTTCTCAAGAATATTTTCGGTAAAGCATATGGCAGGGACATCATGACAATGTTGGAATATAAAGAAGCCAATGCTCTTTTGGTCAAGGCCTCTCCCATGAGCAACGAGGTACAATTACCTTATTAATTAACTTAATAAACTTACTCTAAAATGCTAATTTTTTTAGAGTGTTTCTGGCACAAAGTCAAGAGCAAAGGAAGTAAAGCCAATTGTAGAAGAGAGCAAAGAGTGAGTGATTTATTTGCTTTCATGTCTTTTTATATACATTTTTTATTCTTCAGACTCTTTGTCTACCCAAAACCACCTCTCAAAGGAGGTATTCCTATTACCACATTTGATTACCTTTGTCTTGGTGAGGAGCAGTTTTTAAATGATGCCATTGTCGACTTCTACTTAAAGTGAGCAATCAAATCCAAATAAAATTAACTATCTTGTTTCTATGTGCAACAATAATTTGCAGGTACTTGACACTGACAAAACTCACAGAGTTTGACCAGGCTCGGACACACATCTTCAGCAGCTTCTTCTACAGGCGACTTACAACAAAGCAACTTACAAGAAAGTCCGATGCAAATACTGAAAAGTTGAGTGCTTCTGAGCAACGTCATGCTAGAGTCAAGAGCTGGACAAAAAACATAGACATCTTTGAGAAGGATTTTATTTTTATTCCCATTAATGAACAGTAAGATCTATTTTATTTCTTGAAATTTTTTCTTAAACTAATTGCTTGCAGCGCCCATTGGTTCTTGGCGGTTATCTGCTTCCCTGGACTAGAAGGTCCTGTGCGTTTCTGTGATGGCCAGCCAGTGCCAGCCGAATTGTTGAATAAACCAAAACAGGCCACAGCAAAAGTGACCATCGAGGGTGGATCCGGTGTCCTCAAACAATTCACCATCGGAGCCACAACTGTCACTCTTGCCTCAAACGTGTCGCCCAACAGCCTCAAAATTCTCCAAGCAAAGAACTCTGAAACAGTAAGGGACTTCTTTGCTTTTTTTCCCAGCCAAACTAATTATCTGCTACAGATCATTGCACTTGAGGATAGTGAAGGCTCTGAGAGGGATGAGGCTGAAGGGGATGAGGACGAGTTTGAGACGGAAGAAGAAACTGAGGCTGAACAGAATCAGGAGCAAAGTGCTGTGGAAAAAGAAGCTCCTGTCAAAATCGAATGTGACTATATTTACCCACCAGATGCTGTCAAGCAGTTAGTTTCCGTATTTAGTTATTGTTAATTTTCTTTCATGAGTTTGTTTAGGCCCTGCATTTTGATCTTTGATTCGCTTCCAACAAATCGAAGGGGCAGGGTGGTGGCTACTCTTAGGGAATACCTGCGTATTGAGTACAAAGTAAAAAAGGGAAAGGAGCGCGACTTCAACAAGGACAACATTCGTGGCTCGTTGCCCAAAATTCCTCATCAAAACAACTTCACAGACTGTGGATTGTTTATGTTGCAGTATGCCGAGAGCTTTTTTGAGGTCAGCTGATACTATTTCAACGCTTTTGCATATTTAAACAACAGCCTGTCTCTTACAGCACCCTATCAGAGATTTTTGCCTACCTTTAAAGAGTTTGCTACAATGGTTCGAAGAGAACACAATCCGGACAAAGCGAGAATACATCGCCAAACTGATACAGAAGATGATGGCTGAACAGGGTGTTAAGGTCAAGTTGCCGGAACTGACCTTCGCCAAACCCCTGACCTCAGGGACGCTTGAAGTTGTTGGGAAATCTATCAAAGTAGTCATACCACCTGAACCAAACGAGTTAAAACCAGAGCTGCAGTCAATTTGTCCAGCCGAAGAAGTACCGGGTGAAGTTGAGACTCCAAGAGTTGTGTCCCTGTCGGTGATTGTTCCAGAAGAACATGTGCTGCCGCCAGTCGAGGCAAACATTGAGAGTGAAATTTTGGTCAGTGAGGACTTCAGCAAGTGTGAGTTAAATGACACAGGAGGCAGCAATGACCCTGAGGACATGGAACATTGCATTCAGTTGGTGGATCAACATTTCCCAAACGATGATCCAACAGACTTTGCCACTGAGGACTGTGCAGACAGCAGTAGTGCTAAGCGGAAAGCCGAGTGTGATTCGGAGACTATCAGTCCTAAGCGGGTTTGCTGATTGACACCGAACCTTAATTGTTTCTGAAGATCTATTTTCCACAGGATCAATTATATTAAGTATGCCATGCAAACTTTTTGACTTATGTTGAATAAATTTGTATGCTTAATTGATTACCACTTTATAAAAACAATTTTTATTTCAAAAGAGACCCTGTGGGGGGTTGAATATGTTGCGGGCCTGATTTTCTTTTCTTTGACTTTTCTATAAATGGAACAAGCCTAGTAATAAAATTAAAATTTACTCCTCTTCACTTTTTAATTTGATTGTAAAAATAAAATGTGACAATTTTTCATCACTTTTAAGAATTTCTTCAATTTGGCACACTTCTCTTCCTTTGCTTTGAAGGAACTGCAGACTTTTCAGCAAATGATCTGATCAAATTTGCCAAGAATTTCCTCTTCTTTCGAACATCCTTTGAATCAAACCAGTTTTCAAAATCTATTTCTCGAATCGATTGACCAGCTTTCAGCAACTATTGTAAGAAGAGATTTTTTAATTAAAGATATAAATATTTTGTTTATCAGCAACCTTCAGGAACTGTTCAAAGTATTCAAGGACAAAAAGGCCGCAATCTGAACCGTTCTTTTGCTGAGGAACTAATGGCACAATCAACTTGCGACAGTTAGGGCCTCTGATTTTGCGACCCAAAACTCTGCGACTTTCACAGTCTAAGTAGTGGTTTAGTTTTTTGGCCACCAGCTCCATTTCAGCCTCACTGTCATCATCTATCATCGAATTCAAAATCAGGAAAATGAACCTACTAACACATAATAATTATTCAATAGAAAAAAATTGTCAGACTAATCATACTCAGCATCCTTCTTTTCCTCCTCAGATAGCTCTGTGTCCACAATAACCAAGATCCAGTGATCACTAAAATTAAAATTGAATAATTTTAAGATAGAAAATAAATTACCTTTTACCAGTCATGAACAGGGAAGATCAGATATTTGAAGTCGAAAATTCTGTCTTCTGGTTTCCAAGGGCGAATGAAGTTGCCTTTAAGGGACTTACTTTTTTCAATGTCAGTGTTTAGTCGCGCATAAAAATAAGTGCTGAAGAGGTAAACTTGGTCACAGATTGTTTTCGGACATTGATCAAGGAGGTATCTAGATGAAAATTAATCATCAAATTAAAAGTACCCCTTTAATCAATCTTACTGGAGGTAAAAGTTGATGATGCTGTCATTGAGCCATGCATGAGGATCAAGGCAGTCAAGATCCATTTTGGTAAAAGGAAATTTCTCTCCTTTCTTGCTTTGATAGAAGATCTCGTTTTCATCAGTTTCATCATCGTCGTCTGAAGGTAATTCCAGCGGGGTTGATTTATCAAAGTCATTCCTCTTTCTTCTCAACTGGAATAAAAAATTATTATAAAAAAACACACAAAACATTTGAATTATTACATTGTATCTTTGACACTCTTGTGTTGGCGCAGGAGCTGCTAGCACTTGATTTTCGGTTTCTCCAATTTTTCCACACGAAACGCTGCTCTGTGTTTCTGTATTTAAGTCATCTGACGCATTGCCAGAGTCATTTTGGTCCATCTCTCCTTTTTCAACAGGTTGATCTATGGCCAGCTCTTTGTTTGCAGAACATTCTTCATCCATTGCAGTTTCCTCTTGGACTTGTGAACTCTCAGCATCTATTTTGGGCGCAGAACTTTTTTCATTCACTGCAGTTTTCTCTTCCACTTGTGAATCTTTGTCGTCTTTTTTGGACCCTTCTTCTTGCACTGGGACAGTTTCCATTTCCTCCAAAACTTTCTGTTCTTGCTTCTCTTTGGAATTGTTGTTTAGGAGAGAAATTCGATGTTTGAAAATAGGAGGTCTTTTGTAGACGAGTGTCCTTTGTTGTTCCTTGGTTGTTTCATTTTCACCAATTTTCTTCATCTCTTCCAGTGGCTTGTTATTCTTTTCCATCAGCTGGTGTTTCACTCGCGGTTCTTCTGGCTGTCTTAGCAATTTGTAGTACACCTGCCATCGTAAAAAAAAATGTGAGCTGTTGATGATTTTTTTTCCTGTGAAGAACGAACCTGGAAAATTTTGTTTACTTGTTCGAATACACTTCTCAAAACTTTAGATGTGAGGTTTTCAAACAAAAGAAAGTTGCTGTTTAGAACCAAATTCTTCTTCAACAATGTGCCCAGCAAGTCTACTTTATTTTTTAATTCCAGTGGCACGACTTCCGAGACGAGGCTAGATGTATTACATATTTTAACATCAGTGCAAAAATACCAAAATCTAAAGGCTTTTTACCTGGAGCTTCTAACAACGTCATCATTTTTCAGTTTCAGTCCCAGTCTCAATTTTGTCATCAAGCAAATAACCAAAAATGACCAGCATTTCCTGCAAAACTATTTAGATAAACAAATATTTAAGTTAACAAGCTTACCCTTCATTGTCCACAATAAAGATGAATAAAAAGTCCTTGTTTGCAATCTGCTTGGTTCTGATGAATTTAGTTAGTTTTTTTAGAAGAGCGTCAACAGTCATGAGTCTCTCGTGCTGTTTGATTATGTTCCAAAAAGCAGGTTCTAAGAAGCATATCTTCTGTCTGGCCAGTTGCGTAAGGTTTGACTCAATAAAACCACTGAAAAATGATCAATTATTATGTACACAATAAATACCAATAAATACATATCTCCATATACTTCAGTCATTGCAAAAAAAAACCATTAATTCAATCGATTTGATTACAGAGATAAAGAGAAAGCAGAAAATTAATGCTAAACACTATGTACATACTTGGTTTTCAACATAACCTCAGCATCAAATTTCATGTTGATCCCACGTCAGAATTTATCGCAAGTGCCCTACGACGCTAACTATGCGAAATGCATGTTTGCGATTAAAATTAGAATTCTGCAACAAGAAATTATATGTCTACGAGTTGCTAAATTACTTTCGCATCGAGCGAGAAGCGAAGCATGGTTGAAAATGGGCGTGGTTGATGCAAATTCAAAACAACAGGTCCAATTCGTCCGATTGAAATCCAAGAACCAATCATAAAAGAACTCCGCGAAATTTAAACTTGAGTTAATCTTGCGTAATACAGTGTAATATTTTGAAATTGTATAGAAACTGGTTAATAGTAATAGGATGCTTGATCTTGATGCTTCCAAATTTAAGTCTTGCATTAATTGCATTAAATTTTTGCATTAGCAAAAGAAATTTGATCAATATTAAATAGTGCGCTCTCTTGTTGCTGCTCCTTTCTTAGCACTGCATTGCATTTGGCGCATTATGCCTGGTCTACACTGCACGGACTTGAACTTGAGTTGGGCCAAAGTGGGCGCAACCTGGCTTGAGTTTTGCAAGTTAAAATATCGCCCGATTTTTTTCTCAAGTCTGTTCTTGCGTCCCAAGTACCCTGCCGGGGGAGCACCTGAGATGGTTTTTGGACTTGAGATTGTTGTTTTCACGCGGTTTCTTTTTGGGACTGCTGATTTTGAATTAAAGTTTTTAATTTTAGCAAAGACACAATAGAGGATTGTTTTGAAAATTTTCAAGAGCAGATGGGGTTCGTTTAAATATTTTTTAAATTTATTTCGTTTTTGATATTCTTTTGCACGAATGCAATATTTTTTTATAACGCGTTAATTTAAAGTATTTAAAATTTCAGCGTTGATAGATAATTAAATCATGTATTTTTCTATATTCTAGTTTTCAATTAATTTTGTCTAGGAGCGAAGTTATTAACGTTTCCGCGAGAATTTTGTTTTTTTAATTTTAAAGATAGAAAGCATTTTTTAACATTAAAAACCCTAATTGAATAATGTTGCCAATTAAATTTTCTACAAATTCTTTCATAGGCCTGTTGACGTCAAAATTTTATTTACTTATGTTTGGAAGGCTCAAAGTCAAAATATAATTTTTTAACATAGAATCAAATTTTTTAGAATTTATTTTAGATAGCCAGTCGATTAGAAATTTAGTTTTGATATTTTGATTTAAATTTCATAAAAAAATATTCAGCCGTTTAATAATGAGAAAGTTATATGTGATGCCACCTAAAATTGCTTTTGAAGACGAGGGCGGCATCAGAGCGCTCATGAGAAAGCAAGCTGCAGCTTAAAAACGGCTGAATATTTTCTGATGAAATTTGAATCATGAGATCAAAATTAAATTTACTGTCGATTGGCTATCTCCGAAAAATTCTAAAAAATTTAATTCTATGTAAAAAAATTATATTTTTACTTTCAGCCTTCCGTACATAAATAAATAAAATTTTGACGTCATCAGGCCTATGAAAGAATTTGTAGGAAATTTAATTGGCTACATTTTTAAATTTGGGTTTTTATTATTAAAAAATGCTTTCTATTTTTAAAATTCAAAAAACAAAATTCTCGCGGAAACGTTAATAACTTCGCTCCTAGTCAAAATTAATCAAAAACTAGCATATAAAAAATTACTTGATTTAATTATCTATCAACGCTGAAATCTTGAATACTTTAAATTGAAGCGTTCTAATTTCTAATAAAATATTACATTGGCGCAAAAGTCTATTAAAACGAGTGTCTCTCGCCCGACGGTGTCGCCGCCGGGGGTGCCACCAAATGAAACTTGCGCAGCGGCGAATGACGTTTCGGCCAATTTCGAGTCGGCGGCCGACCAAAACGAATAATAAATGTCACCAGGCCTTTCGGTGGTAAATTTTAGTAATTTTACATTAGATAAATAGTGCATTTATAGACTTCAAGAAAAGAAAATCGAGAAAATCAAAGAAAACTCTTTAAATGGACTTTGAGCTGGAGCTGGCGGACTCGATATTTTTCGATTAATCGATATTTTTTGGATTTTTGAAGCTCAAGTCCGTGCAGTGTAGACCAGGCATTATCCTCTCCTTTCGTGGGCTGCGTGTTGCTCGTTGCAGCAAGAAACGGCGCAAGAACAGTAAAATGAGTAAGAGAACGAGTGCAAACAAGTTGAGACTTGAGACAACTGAAGGAGGGCCGGCTTTGCTGGCGTTGGCTGCGGAATGAAACGAATGTATATAGTCCGGTGTTCCGTGTTCGTTCCTATTCCATCCTTTTCGCTCGTCGCTCCTTCGTCTCCGCTCTCCGCATCTCTCTGCAAATCAAGCGAAGCGACACTAACATATTTTTCTTTTTCGGCATATTTTTGCAATCTGAGCGATAAAAAGGTGGGAGGCTGAAGCACAGTAGCACACACGAGGCTCCATTTCGATTCGACTTGCATCTTGCATCATTTTGAGCGAAATGCAGGAGTGAGGCGGACGACAGAAAACGTGCTTGAATTTAAACTGGGGAAATTCTGCATTTGATCAGAGAAAAGAGCGGTGATTTCTACTCATTAATTATGGTATATGGTACTGTTACAGTGAGATTTAATATCTTTTTATCAATTATAATTATGAAAATAAAAGCACGAAAAAAGATGGAAATTAGATTTTAAAAGATGCAGCCGTTTTCCTTTCGGCTATGTGTTTTTAAAAAATTTGATTGAAATACATACAAACATATATTTGTTGAGTTAATTTTTATTTTGCCAATAATTTTTTAACAAGTTGTAGCGACTCTGCCGATGACGCAACATACAAACTCAGAATAACAACCCAACTCATTCAATCAACCAGCGGCTCCCCGCCTAGCCCACTCGGCTACGACGCCCACCTTCGCGGCGAATATAACAACACAGCGGATCGAGCCTATGTGGCCACATACTTTTCGATCCAAATCTTACATTGGTGCCCAGAACCCGTGCACTGCAGTCCAAGACACGCCTCCTGCAGGAACCGGCGACCGTTCATCTAACAATCAACACGACATCTACCGGCAACACCGCATCAACTCCTCGGCCTCTGTCAACCACGGCGCAGCAGGTTTGGGGGTGCCTCCGCCACGACACGCTCACCCACGCAAGAAGTTGCCGACGACGCCCTCTGCGCTCCGCTTCTTGGGGGGGACTTGATGTAGCGACTCTGCCGATGACGCAACATACAAACTCAGAATAACAACCCAACTCATTCAATCAACCAGCGGCTCCCCGCCTAGCCCACTCGGCTACGACGCCCACCTTCGCGGCGAATATAACAACACAGCGGATCGAGCCTATGTGGCCACATACTTTTCGATCCAAATCTTACAAAGTTAACAAAATCGGTGTCGTTTTTCTAATTTCAGAAGATATAATTTTATGGTTAAAAAAAATGTTGCACGGGCAAGGACGTTTCCCGTACGACTGTCGGACGACCAACGCCACATGGGGAATCGCCAACACAATAAGCAGCACCTGCGATCAAATTCCTGCTCGCCCAGCACCTGTCGTGACCAACAACCTTCTGCAAACAACAGCCTACCTGCCCTGGCTGCCAGGGGCACCAGGCATCGGATTCCATCACCAAACGCACCCTTACTTCCATCAGCAACCGCATGTTTGTTTACAAACTAGGAAGCGACAAATTTATTTGATATTAATTTGTTACAGAATGGGATTCCACCCCTGATGAGCGTTCAGCACATCCGAACATCAAATGTCTTGCCGCCAGCCTCGATCTCTATTGGATGGGGCAACAACACAATGATCTGCATGCCTCAGCAACCAAACAATCCGCCACCAATGATCAGACCTCCTTTGGTCCATGAAGCGCTAGTTTCCAATGGTATAATCCATCTTTTTATTTTTTGACACGTTGAATGCGTTGAAAGTATTTTCTTTTTATAGATAGATAGATAGAGTATTTATTGAACACAACTAGGTGTACAACGGGTGTCTAAAGCTAATTTGTCTTCCTCTAAAATTAGTTTTACAATTAAGTTTGTTTCGATAATCATTTCAAAGTACAAAGTTAGTTAATTCTGATTTTTGCAGCCTCTCTTAGGCTTAGTTTTCGTTCATTACATTCAAGAAAATGATATTGTGAGCATTTATTACCGCAGTGCTTGCATTCACAATCTATTGTCGCTTGAGAATGGAAATTGTTATAGATAGATAGAGTATTTATTGAACACAACTAGGTGTGCAACGGGTGTCTAAAGCTAATTTGTCTTCCTAAAATTAATTTTACAATTAAGCTTGTTTCGATAATTATTACAAAGTACAAAATTAGTTAATTTTGATTTTTGCAGCCTCTCTTAGGCTTAGTTTTCGTTCATTACATTCAAGAATATGATATTGTGAACATTTCTTACCGCAGTGCTTGCATTCACAATCTATTGTCGCTTGAGAATGAAAATTTTTATTCTTACAAAATAAATAGTGGTACCCGTGACAGGCAAATCTCGTAAACACTTGGCGATCACTGAACATTGCACATTGCCAATTTTTATTCTTCATAGTTTCTGTCTCGTAGAACTCATCACATATCTCAAGTTTGTTTAAATATTTAGACACACAAAATTTCTGGAATGCTTCAGTTTCAGTTAGAGAATATTTTACCTGTAAGTCCGATACAAAGAGATCAGTGTCAACTAATTCATACACAAATCTAGATCTAATATACTTGGACAGTCCTAAAACTCTTTTTAAATATCTTGTTTTGACTTTTTCAAGATTTTCAAAATCAGTCTTTGTTAGGAAAGGCCATATTTCTTCAATGCCGTAGAACGCAATTGGGGAAATTTTTAGATCAAATAGCTTGTGTGCTGTTTCAATGGATAATTGTTTTAGTTCTCGTATATCGCTCATACAGCGGCTAAATGGACAAAATGAAATTTACAATTGAGACGTTTGGTTAGTTTGAAATTTTCAATATCAACGATTGGTCATTTCACGATTTACAGGCACGGGTGTTCTAATCGAGAAAAACAGCGTTATTTGTGTGTCAACGGGAAAGTGATTTTTGAGAGCGTCTAAAAAATGGAAATTTTGAGATTTCAAGGGTGGTCAGTCATGAAATCAGTTGATTTAATTATATTTATGCGCTAAAAGTGTAGGAAAAATCCGGATTTCCCGGAAAAGTGAGTTATAAGGAGGTTTGACAAAAAATTCATATCTCAGCTTCTAATTGAGATAAATTCAAAAATTTAAAGCGAAAATGCAGCTCAAGACATGCCCTTTCTCGGGGATGGGTAGGGATAATTTTCAAGGCCGTGTTTCTTAATGAGGGTGGGGTGATAAAAATTGAGGGGTTGTAAAACAAATGTTATGCAACTTGCAGAACGTTGGAAAAAATTACAAAGAAACCTCATCATATGAGACAACAACCCCTCATAGGGCGAATATTTCCTGCAACCTCCTGGTATTGAAAATAAATCCCCAAAATAGGTCCATTTTGGCCATATGAGACACATATTCAAGAATTAATTACAATACTAAGGGGTTGCAGGAAATATTCGCCCTATGAGGGGTTGTTGTCTCATATGATGAGGTTTCTTTGTAATTTTTTCCAACGTTCTGCAAGTTGCATAACATTTGTTTTACAACCCCTCAATTTTTATCACCCCACCCTCATTAAGAAACACGGCCTTGAAAATTATCCCTACCCATCCCCGAGAAAGGGCATGTCTTGAGCTGCATTTTCGCTTTAAGTTTTTGAATTTATCTCAATTAGAAGCTGAGATATGAATTTTTTGTCAAACCTCCTTATAACTCACTTTTCCGGGAAATCCGGATTTTTCCTACACTTTTAGCGCATAAATATAATTAAATCAACTGATTTCATGACTGACCACCCTTGAAATCTCAAAATTTCCATTTTTTAGACGCTCTCAAAAATCACTTTCCCGTTGACACACAAATAACGCTGTTTTTCTCGATTAGAACACCCGTGCCTGTAAATCGTGAAATGACCAATCGTTGATATTGAAAATTTCAAACTAACCAAACGTCTCAATTGTAAATTTCATTTTGTCCATTTAGCCGCTGTATGAACGATATTATAAGTGGCCAGCAATGCAGCTCTTGTTCTTTTTTCAATGTGCTTTCCAAAAGAGATTCCTGATGGTTGAAAAGTAACTCCTAAATATGTAAACTCAGCAACTCTCTTTATTTCAATTCCACCTAAATCTAGGCGGTCACTTAATGCATATTTTCCTAGACCCTTATTTCTAAATTTCATGAATTTGCACTTTTCCAAGTTAAGTTTCAAACTGCGTTTTAACAAAAATTCTTTCATTCTGGCTAAAGCAATTTTCAAGTCACTTAATTTTTCTGAGGTTAAAACAATATCATCTGCATAATAAATGGCTTTCACGTTTGGCAAATCTCGTAGAATATTATTTATATCAGCTAAAGAGTAATTGAACAGAAATGGGGACGTGCATCCCCCCTGTCTTACCCCATTTGATTGTGTAATAAGTTTTGATACTGTTACTCCATCTACTATTCTCAAGAAATTTAAGTCTACGTTGTGAGCTAAATAATTTAACTCCGTGAACGTTAGCTTCTTGCTTTCTATTAACTTCTTAAAAATAAACGCCCTATCTATTGAGTCAAAAGCTTTACTTACATCCAAAAATAAGGCATATAAGGGTGATTTCTTCTTATAAACTGTCTCTTGAATGTTATTAACTAAGGACTTAATTGCCTGTAAAGTGGATTTTCCTTTCACAAAACCATATTGATTGCCTGGAATCTCGTGAATCAAAGATGAGTAGATACGTGCATGCAGTACACGATCTAACAGATTGTAAAAAGCCGAACTAATACATATTCCTCTATATGAATTTGTATTTTCCGCGTCCCCTTTTCCCTTATACAAGAGTTTTAGATTTGACTGCCTCCATTCCTCTGGACATGTTCCTAGCTCCAAGCATTTGGTGAAAAATTGCGTTATTTCGGGGAGTAAGGATTCAACAAGTAGTTTAATATTTTCATTCTTCACTTTGTCAGGTCCAGGGGATTTCCCGTTTTTCATTTTCTTTAATGCTAACAAAACTTCTTCTTCCATAATAGGTGAAAAATTTATATCATTTCTGTAATCTACTATCATCTCTTTCAGATTTAACGATTCATTTTCACTCAATTTTTTCTCGTTGAAAATTTTTTCAAAATTGCACTCCCATTCATCCATCATTATATATTGTTTGTATTGTAAAAACTTTTGCTCAACTTGAGAATTTTATAGCACTTATTCTGCTCCGCCTCTTTTAAAATGTCCAACTCCTTCATTTGCACAAAAGCGTTCTTCTTCATTTCACACACATTTTTGTAATTTCTTTTTAATGCGGTATAGTGCGGTAATAGAATCTTGATTATACTAGTTACATTTAAACTTTCAGCCACTTCCAAGCACTCTCTCCATTCGTTCAATTTCTGTTTTAATTCGTAGCATTCAGAATCAAACCACGGTTGACTAATCCGTTCAGTTTGCCTACGAGGAATGTCGGCCTCTTTCATAATATTTATCATATTTTTATAAAACTCTTCAACGTCCCCCTTTTCCAGATTTGTTCTTAGAATATTTTTATATTTAGTCTCAATAAGCTCTTTAAGTATGTTTTCATCTAATTTAAAATTTTTCTTATTCAAAGACATGTCCCCATTTCTGTTCTTTTGTTTTGTGAAATTAAATTCTATTGAAATAAAATTATGTTTTCTTATGGTTGGGCAAATTTTAAAATTTTCGGTGTAAATTTTTGGCCCTTTGAAGATTAAATCAAACACACTATGACCATTACTACAGTCGTAGGTACTTTTATATGGATATTCATTTACTATTGTCAGACTGTTTTCCTCAGCAAAATCAAGCAGCGAGTCAATTTTTCTGTTTTTAGTATCCAGTCGGCAATTAAAGTCTCCAGCCAAAATGAAATTTTCAAAATTTTCAACATATTTAAGGATTGAGAGAAGTTCATTAGTCACTGTTGTCAGGTGAAAACGTTAATGACTAATATGTCCTTTTCCCTATGTTTAAGGACTTATATAAGGACTTTTTAGTCTTTTTCCAAAGAAAAAGTACTATAATAGTCCTTTTTTCAAAAAGTAAGGACAATCGTATAAAACTTAGAAGTCCTTTTAATAATTTTAAGGACTTACTTTTGTCCTTATTCTCGGTTTAAGGACTAAAAAGTAATTTAAAAGGATTCTGATAAACTCTTTTAGTCCTTTTCCACAACTTCAAAAAAATCATTAGTCCTTTTTCAGAACTCTGCAAATTTTTATGGTATAATTTTCCATTTCCTGGGTAAAAGAAATATTTTCGTTTGGCTTGTTTTTCGCAAAGGTGATGAAAAAATTAAATTATTTAATTTAGTTCCATATGAAATACTCAAAATTTTCTTTATTTTTCTTTTTAATTTCACAAAATACATTTCAAAAATATACATTTGGATTATTTAATAAATTAAGAAGACCATTCCTTAAATAATTACAATTTTTATCATACAGAAAATTATTATAGAGCATATATGCTATAGTAGTCTAATATTATACTACTATAAATTAAATTCGTGCAAATTTGGTGGCTCAGCAATAAGGTTGAAAATTTTATAAAGAGGATACTGCAATGAGGACAAGTTTGCAGTGACAAATTTGCTAGTGGTGACACAATTTTTTAAGTGCCTCACTGCACCACCTGATGGTAATTTAAAGCATTCATCAACTAATTTAACTTCCTTTCCGATGAAATATTTTTGGTTAAAAAGTTTTACATAATACAACACTTTTGAGAATTTTTTTACATCATTCTCTAAGTAACAAACATAGTATGAGCACGTTTTT